AATATAATATAATATAATATAATATAATACCTTAGAAGTGCAACAATTTTTTGTTAATAAATTAACGTGTATTCATAACTTCAGTTGTTTTCTATATTTTCTATACAAGTTCACTTGTAGCCATCTCCATACCGAATTAAATTTGTGCATTTATTTATTTTTTAGGTTTGTGACATCATCTTGAGCCATTCATAAGCATCTGATCAGAGCTGCAGGCAGACGTTTCTGCAGGTTTCCAGTTCACCACCATGGAGGATGCAATGCTGAACAGGACCAAGCTAAACATTGAACAGGCTTTTATGAGATCAGGAGCTGCAGTGGTGCTGTAGAGCTCTTCATGGAGAACAATCTGCATCTTCAGAGACTGTGACTCTGCTGAAGATTCTCATCACATCTATTCTGACCACAGCTGAATCTGAGAGGAGTTTCAACACTGAAGACAATCYAGACTTTCCTCAGKTWCAACATCACATCACTGCACTGACCATGCTCTATAAGAATCTTGTTAAAACATCCCTGAATTTAACCAGAGTCATTAAGAAATTTGCTTCTCAGTAACAGAAGATCAAAATTTATGTACTAAAAATAWAACACATTGTAATGACATTGTAATGCTGTTTATTATTGTCATTTGTTTAATAAAACACTGGCGTGCTACAACTTAGTACATGTTTGATTGCTTTTTGGGATACGTCTATTTTGGAGTTGTAGCCCCACCTGGAGAAAATTCCACCAGCCACCAATGGTTTAGACTAACATTAAAAATTTTGACTTGTGAAGGAACACACACAATCAAAAAAAGATGATTGCAATTACAATAAGAGGGAGCACAAGCATAAGATTTTGAAGTGTAGAATTCCATGATACCACCCACCAGAGTTTTATAAAATCATCTTATGTTGTAGCTGTTTTGGTCAAACTTTGTAAGAGCACATGTGACAATGTAAAATGTTATGCTTACAAATTTGTGTTGTAGAGGACTCTTACCTATAACCACATTCAGTTTTAGTTCAATATTCAAAAAATAGACTGAGTTTTCTGTTGGATAATATTGATTAACCAATGGTGGCAATCTGGAACTGGATCAACAACAAAAGTTAATACATTGTAGACATCCATAATGGTTCTGTCCTAAAGGTTTCATGAAAATCCATCCAAAGTTTCATGAGATATTTTTCTAACAGACACTTGAATATTGGGAGCCAAGTCTGTCTAATATTTTAAAGAAAGATTTTGCCCAGTTAGTGCTCAGAACAAATGCTGGGGATCCTACGGAGACCGCCAGGGAACAGTGGTGAAAAAAAAAAAGCCATCGGAAATCCGCGCACTCGGATTACTATACAAAGTGCATGGATTACTAAATCGTGCACTCAGTTCCTGCAATCAGTGCGCGCAGATTGCTCAGATCTGTCGACAGGTTGGACGCATGGTACGAAGCCCGCATCTGCAAGGTAAATTCAGTGGATCTGTTGTCATATATAAACTTAAGGCACTGTCATGTTTTCATCAGCACACTTATTAGCCACAGAACCTCCCTGAAAGTTTCATCAAAATCTGACGTGGTTATTATTTATTTATTTTCATATTTTCCGGGCAAATGATTCCTGAAATGGAGGTTAGCCTCTTCCGTCCTCCCGTCCCCCCCTTTGTTGTCTAGGAAAGACAATAAACATCTGAGAACTGCTGGAGAAGACCTCTGAGCGGCTTACTGCAGAGATATGTCACCGTGTGGCGAGCTTCATCTGCGGAATGATGGCCCGATGGGAGCTGCTGCCCCATTCGTACTCTAAAATGTTTCAAACTTTATTCAACTGTTCTCTGCGGTGTAATAAACGTTTTTGAAAGAGTAATAAACATTTATTAAAAATTCCACATAAATCTATTCAGTACTTTTGTGATATAACCCTGAGAAGGCAACTGGCTAACTTCCCCATTGTCAGGGAAACCATAAACATCCGGTAATCACGTGCAGAAAGGCTCCGAGCGGCTTCCTGTGATGATCCGATCAGAGCTGAAACAGCCTTCAGGAGACCCAGTACCAAAACTGCCCGAAAGAGGGGCAAAAACTGTACAACATACTCAATTTCCAACATTTTCTGTGCAGTACTTTGACTTTAGTGAACAAAAAATGCTCCTTCATTCACTCATTAAACTCCAGATGTGAGTAATCCGTGCGCACGGAATACTAATCTGTGCGCACGGACAGCAGAAACTGAGAGCACGGTTTAGTAATCCATGCTCACAGTTTTGTAATTTGTGCGCACGGATTACTAAACTGAGTGCAAGGATTTCCAGCGACTGTTTATTTTTTTTCTCCCACTGACCCCTGGCGGGCTCCATGGGATCCACCTCAGCTACCAACACACTAAATTTCAGCTTAGTATTTATAAAACTGGCTGAGTTTTTAGCCATTTTTGTGTTCTTTAAGCTAAGTTAGCTGTGGCAGCCATTTTAAATTAGGCTGACTTCAATATTCTTCTGTTGTAAATTGACTTTCAGCAGAATTCATAAAACTTGTGTAGTGGTTTAGACAGGCACACGAACATGAAAACAAACACAAGTTTGTATTTCTACTTTTATTAGGACTGTGTTTTGACTTCCGCTTAATTCCGGTAAGTTCTGTAGCCTAACCCAGACCCATATCCTAAACCTAACACCCCAGTACAACACTAACCCTAACCCTAAAGGGCTAGTAGACAATYCTAAAAATGTAACAAAAAGCAGGTATACACACAGAAATGCAAACGCATTATTCTTTGTTTCTTTTCGGGGAGGTGGTGGGGGTAATAATCACTTTACAGCAGAGAAACAAGAAGTGTGTCGACATATTTGTTATTTTACCTYGTGTTCTTCTTCTGCGGCGACCCTATTCCGCTGTGGCCCGGAGGACTTGCATATCGTGCTGTGAGACTGTGAACAGAGCAGGGAAGATGAGAAGATTTAGTGAGCTAAACTTTTCTCAAACTGTATCTGAATGAAAGAGTGAGTGAGCACAGACAGAGAGAGAACCAATGAGAGCCAGGTGAAGGAAAACAAGAAGCACGTGGCAAATCCCGCCGCATGCCAGGGCAAATATCTTTGATTTTTTTCTCATGATGGCTCACACATGTTTGAAACCACGAGCGTATGACAAGGCCAATGAGTCTGTTTATAACACAGCCAGAAAAACTTTCACAAACACTTGTGCGGTGGCATCGTTTGAAGAAAACCCCAGAACACACAACCCACAGGGCAGATTTGAAGGAAATGCCAACAGAATGAGAGTCATCAGAGTTAGTCAGAGAAGGGAATTACTATAACGCTGGATGTTTCATTCATATTTGAACTCATAAAGCCTTCTCCAAAGGTGTTTCAATGCATCCTGTAAACAATGAGCTGTCAATGGTATTATTGGCCTTTGAAGTTTGAGAACTGTCCATCACAAGACCAATCCCTAACATACGCATACTTTATTAGACATGTTCTGGTTTTTGTAAGTTTTTCACTCAGTTTACAGTAAAATTTGCACAAAAACCCCAGAAATGTTATGTTTCGTCTKGGTTCATGTTTTTATTTTTGACTTTGTTCTGATTTTTCTGTCATGTTCCTCTGTTTTCTTCCTCCTGTCTGCCTTTGCTCCAGCCCCGCCCACTCACACCTGATCCTCATGTTTTCTCCCAGGTGTTTCCTGTTTGTATTCATCAGTCTCACCATTGTATTCTGTGTCTTGTCTTCACTTCYCTGTCGGGTCATTGTTTGGTTATGTTCTGTTATTGTGTCTTGTCTTGCCACGCCACTCAGAGTTTTTTGAGCTGCCCAGTCAGCACCTTTTTTGTTAAATAAATATTTTGTACTTTAGAGCCTTTAATCTGCCTGCGCCATGGGTTCTTTCCTGCCTGAAATTCATTCATTCAGTTTTAGTCTGATCTGAGCAGATCACCTTCTTTTACATGTGTATCTGTACTATATATCATCATCATCAGTCCCTTAGCTTCATATCATGGAGGGCAGTACAAACATCTATTCTCAGCAACCTTAACCTAAACTGATCCTTGGCAGGATGGTTGAAGACACAGAAAGGGAGCCCTGTCCAGCTTCAAATGCCACCTGCCCATTGTCAAGAAGGAAGCCCATTTTACAGRCTCCTTCAACATTTTTCTGAAGAATCACATTTGATAAAGATTCCTTGGACCTCAATATGTGGGTAAACTACTTCTTCTTAATCTGCATTAGGAGGGAGTCATGATCCTCAATGAGGACATGGACTCCATGGCAGATCTCAGCATTTGCGGTATTGGAGGACCAGTGGACCGGCAGCAGGTGAAAGTAACAAGACATTTCAAATGAATATTTATTTTTCTCTATCAAAACATTCACAGTCCAGGTTTCTACAGCACAGAGGGGGACTGACAAAACAAGTCTATAAAGGAGTCTAAGTTGGGTAGCTATTAACACTGATCTGTCCATTCAAACAAGTTTTAGTCTAGCTAGGGCACTGGCAACTTTAGCTATTTTTGTCTGCATTTACTATACTTCAGAGTACGGCAATTTGTATAATTTATGTAGCCAGTAKAGATGTTATGTAATCTTGGTTTCACAGCATGGATTTATTTAGTAAGGGCCTTTTAAATCAGTGTGATGCTGATTTAAGCCTCAATGAGCTGAGATATACACACAATCAACTAAACTTTATGTATGTTTTATAATTCACAAAATATAATATGGGTGTTTGAGAATGATCAGACCTTTAGTATCAACTGGTGAACATCTATGGCTATTTAGTTTAAGGATTCAGGGCAATTCAATTCAATTTATTTCTCTTCAAGGCACTTTTGGGATTTTCCGTTTCTATCCATCCATCCATCCATCCATCCATCCATCCATCCATCCATCCATCCATCCATCCATCCATCCATGGTCTCCTCCCTTTGGGACACATTTAAAGCACTTTTCTTAGAAATACAGAAACCACCTTTTCCAGAAGCCCAAACCACCTCTGTTGGATCCTTTCATTGCAGAGGAACAACAACTCTACTCTCAGCTCTTCCCAACCAAACTCCTCAGTCTCTCCTAAAGGTGAATTCAAAAGCTCAGTGGGGCCACTTGCACTTCACAATCTGGGTCATTACTCATAGTGTACGACACATGTGACAGATAGAACATAAACTGATTGACAAATTGTGATTTCCAACCTTAAAACCCTTCAACATCTTACTTAAGCTCTTGTAAAATTGAGAAATGAGCATAAAGACTTATTACCAGCAATTGTTTTGGGTTTGTGATAAGAAATTGTCCCAACAATTTGCAGCTTCATCATTTTTATGATAACAGGAACAATTTTATTATGTTGCAAAAAAGATTTAAAAAGCGCACATTTGCACTTTACACAAAGGAGGGAACTCACAATCATCCCTTTGACGGAGTGTTTATAATTAAACAAAATGAGGATTTTTGTCAAATGAGCTTCGAAGAAATCTTAAGACTAAATCACAATTCTCACTGACATTACTTTAAAAAAAGATTAGTAAGGAATTCAAATTGATATATTGGAGAAACAATATATCGTAAACTACAAATCTAAACCACAGGGGAAAAAAAACAATAGAAAATCTGTCATATAACAAGTCTACATGATAATAATCAATGAATTTACCAGTTCATGCTGCCAGTGACACTAATCCATCCTCCAAAAATCCGAACCCTGACTTTCAGACACACTCAGCACAAACTATAACTACCTATGAGCTGGGTCAGTCTTAGCCAGGCTGTTTGCCCTCCCATATGGCAGATGGCTCTTCCTGTCGCAAGACATGGCCGTGGGTAGGCGTGAGGAGCGCCATACCAAGGGGTCAACTTGTTCGCCCCGGGACATGATGAATTAAAGTGGGAGGGTTTGCTGTGCACTGTCAGGACTGGTCCACCCTGCCTTCTACAGCACTGAAAGCTTTCCATGGCTCCGAGCTGTCGTGAACTGTCCAATGGGGACTTCCCCTTTGACACACACAGACACACATACTCTGCCCTGGAGACACCAGTTAAGCAAGCAGGTGCTGTCTATAGAAAGCTTCCCATACCACAAGAGTATGCTATATGTCAGTGTGTATCTTCTGGGAATATCATATGATTGGCTCAAATTATTTTTCAATTTTCCTTCCTGGTTTCATTTTTGTATTAAATGCTGAATCATCAGGGCTGATTGAAGTAAAATAAAAATAAAAAATAAAAAAAACACTTTCAATAACTATCAAGCTTTTACATGACTGCAATTTTCCAATTTTAGCAACAACAGAGAAACCAGTATTTTCCCAGGTTTACCATAATACTGTATGTCAGTAAAGTGAAGCCCAGATTTTCATCGGGTTTATGTTCGTAGATATGATGGAGTATTACGGCCACACAATGAGATTTTTTAAAATAATTATTACGACAATAAAGTCATAATATTATGAAAATAAAGTCGTAATATTACAAGAAAAAAAGTCATAATATTATGGAAAAGTGTCATAATATTACATGACGTGTCCATTTTTCGTTCCTCATTTTCTCCTTATTATCCTCACACCTTCTGTTGACAGCCATATGTGTCTGCATTTATAAAGTAGGCCACGATGTCTTGGGTTAGTGATAATGTTAGTTAGCTTTCATCCAAATTAGCTATGTGACGACTAAATCTGTCAATGCATCCATTAATTACAATGTGGCTTCAGTTTAAATATAGATAGACAGACAGACAGACAGACAGACAGACAGACAGACAGACAGACAGACAGACAGACAGACAGACAGACAGACAGACAGACAGGTAGATAG